AGACGTCTCTGCTGCCAGTGAGGCCAAATCCTGCAAGCACCTACTTTCTTGTATTGATGCTAATCTATAAGTGCATCTGATTTTAAGCCTAAGTCACGTACCTGAATCCTGGCTTCACAGTAAATTGGGAAAGATATTTTGTGTTCTATCTTGGGGAGGTAGCAGTGGGTAAAGTGAGAAATTTTCCCCAACTACAAATAGTGTTCCAAGAGCCTGAGAAACCCCCCCAAAAATCTATGTCTATTATAATCTTCTCAGAGCAAATTTTAAGTAGCGTGAACTTTATATATTTTTATGTATAAATGTTAGATGTTATTATCTTTGTAACTGTTATATTTTATTTTAAATAATGTTAATTTAAGTACTTGTATTGTTTTGCATTTGGATATTTTTTGGGTATTTTTCCTCAGTATTTAAACAGACTCACCAAATATTTACTGATAATTTTTGAAATTCTCATACATATCAAGTAATCCATCCAGGTGGTTAAGGCATTCTAAGTCACAGAATGAGGTAGGAGGTTGGCCCAAGTACAGGTCATAAAGGCCTTGCTGATAAAACAAATTATGGTAAAAATGCTGGCTAACACCCACCAAAACCAAGACAGTGCGGAGAGTGACCTCCGGTTGTCCTCACTGCTCGTTATATATACACTAATCATAATGCATTATCATGCCAAAAGACCGTATACAAATGCCGTGGCAGTGTCTGGAAGTCACCATATATGGCCCAAAAGGTGGAGGAACCTGCAGTTCTGGGAATTGCTAACCCCTTTCCAAGAAAACTCATGAATAATCCACCCTTGTTTGGCATATAATCAAGAAATAATTACAAAAATAGCCAATCAGTTGCACTGGGGCTGCTGTGCCTATGGAGTGGCCATTCTTTATTCCTTTTCTTTTTAAATAAACTTGCTTTCACTTTATCTATAGACTTGCCCCACATTCTTTCTTGTGTGAGGTCCAAGAACCCTCTCTTAGGATCTGGATCAGGACCCCTTTCTGGTAACACATGGGCTAATGTCTCCCCAAGCATGCTCCACTCTAACCACTGCAGCCTGTAGAAACCACTGTTCTACTTTCTACTTCTGAGATACCAGCTTTTTTAGATTTCACATGAGTGAGATCATGTGGTATTTTTGTCTTTTTGTGCTTATTTTACTTAACATGTCCTCCAGATTCTTCCCTCGTTTTGCAAATCACAGGATTTCCTTATTCTTTTATGGCTGAATAGTATTCCATTGTGTATGTCTATCACATTTTCTTTATCCATTCATCTGCTGATAGACACATAGGTTGATTACGAATCCTGGCTATTGTGAGTAGTGCGGCAATGAATATTGTAGTTCAGATATCTCTTTGACATACTGATTTCATTTTCTTTGGCTACATACCCAGTAGTGAGATTGCTGGATGATATGGTAATTTTATTTCTAATTTTTTGAGGAAACGTCATACTGTCTTCCTTAATGGCTACATGAATTTGCAGACTTATCAGCAGAGTTAAAGCGTTCCCCTCCTTCACCTTCTTGCCAATACTTATGTCTGGTCTTTTTGGTAATAGCCATACTAACAGGAATGCGGTGAGATCTCATGTGGTTTTGATTTGCATTTCCCTGATGATTGCTGAGGTTAAGCATATTTTCAGATATATCTTGGCCATTTGCCTGTCTTCTTTTGAGAAATATCTACTCAGATTTTTTGCCAATTTTTTATTGTTTTTTTCTTGCTATTGAGTTGTTTGAGTTCCTTATATATTTTGAATATTAACCCCTTACCAGATGCATAGTTTGAAAATATTTTCTCCCATTCAGTAGACTGTCTCTTCATTATGTTGATTGCAATTTTTTCCCGCTTCCTGACTCATCTGTTTCTTTCTTTTTTCTTTTCTATTTGGGCATCTTGCTCTGCCTCTTTTTCCTTTTTCCTTTTCTAATTGATGTGTTTTGATCTCTTTTATTTTGGAAGTTTCCTACATAATTCTGGTGATCCTTTGTTTTTTATTATAATGTAAATTTGAAGTACTACAATCTGAGTTGGCATTTTTTGTGTAAGGTATAGATCTGGCAAATCCTTCAGCAGCATACATGTACTCACCCATTTGCTTGAGAAACTTGCAAATGTCATTCTTTTGAGGACTTTTTCTGGAATCATTCCATTTCTTTTGAGAAAATGTCTCTGGTATCCTGTACAGGGGCTATCTGCCTAGCTGTAAGCATTCTTATGGCTGATGTCATTACAGCCCTGGGGTTTCTATTCCACATTTAGACTTTGTCCTAATCTCCCTCTATTGGTTGGGCAGAGTCTGGGGTCTTTCCATTCCATTTGGTGGTGAAATGGGGTGAAGTTGGGCAGACAGGTAAACAAAGTCAAGCATTTTGTCATAGATAGAAACAGAACTCTGGGAAAGCATTAGAGGTGAATGAGAAATACCTTTTGCTGAGGGCTCAGAAGAGGCTGCAAAGAATAATCATCACAGCATCGGGGTTTTGAAGTAACCTCCAGGCACACTGATTAATGAGTGGGAGGCAGAGATGGACAAATAAAAGCATTTCCAAGAAGAGGTATCTGTGTAAAACAAAGAAGGCTTGGAAAACTATGGTCCATTTCTGAAGCATCAAGGGCTTCAATGCCATAACATTGGCAATTAATAAATGAATTAGAACAGGGAATTAGCACTTTATCTAGTTCAAAGATAAACAATTTTTTAAAGGATCTAAGGCCTTTGCATTTCTAATCCTAAATTTGAATGTTACTTTATTTGCTTAGTTCAGTCTGTACTAGTTAATGTATTTCAATTGCGTCACTTGCTACTTGTATTTAACAACACATCATTTAACATCTTTGGTTCTCAATTGTCTCATCTGTAAAATGGAGCTGCCTGTATCATTCAGGGGTTTGAGTTGTATGCAAGATAAAGCAACATGCTCATCTAAATAGAAAAGGATTTTGTGAAAGGATATCGGATCTCTCCCAGGAAATAGAAAACTAAGTTTGAATATTACACAATCCTGAAAAAATCCAAAATCATACTGCATAACTAGTACCATCATCACTGCCACCAGCTGGGCACAGAACCCGGGTCCTGCACCACTGACACTCTGCTAGTGTCCTCGGATGCAGCCACTAGACATATTGAGGCTTTGTAAACCAGATGTGGCTGTGGTGCTGCCATCTCCCTTGCAAGAATGTGTTTTGTCTAGAGCTGTGGGTCTGACTGGCAGAACCTAGAACACGTGTTCATGCCCTGTGTGAACAGGAATACTGAATACTGAACAGTTAGCAACAGATTGTTTACAACTTCTTCAGGAAAAAATAGGTTCTGCCTTGTAAAGAGGGAGGTGCATTCCCAACCATAGAAAGCAGAGGTAGAAACTGAATTGTCCATAAAAATGACCAGTGCCCACAGAGTTTAGGCTTACCAAAATGTTTTTAGAAGATACAAGACACTATAATACAAAAAACTTTAAAACGTCAGACATTATTACTATTGTTATCCCTAGCACCTTCTCATCAAAAAAAGTTCTTGAATAAGTTCAGTATCATTGATTAATGTGCAACAAATTACCCTCAAAACTTAGTGGGGTCTACGTAATAATAAAAAGACCTTTATCATTGCAGAGTATCTGTGGTACAGGGATTCAGGAATGGCTGAGCTGTGTGGTTCTGGTACAGTGTTTCTCATAAAGTTGCAGTCATGATGCCAGCTGGGACTCACAGCCTGACGGAAGCTAGGGGACTTGTTTACAAGCTGGCACCTTCACAGGAGGAGGCCTTGGTTTCTTGATGGCTGTTGGAAATACACATCTGTTCCTAAATGCATGGGCCTTTCCACAGAGCTGCTGGAGTGGCCTCCCCCAGCAAGAGGAAGTTACAACGTCATTTTACAATCTACTCATAGTTGTTCTCCAATATGTCTATCATGTTCTTCTTGTTGGGAGGTAGTCACTAAGTATAGTCTACAGAGGGAAATAAGACTTCAATGGAGGGAGGAGTTTCAAATAATTTCTGGACATATACTAAACCATCACAGGTTATTATTATTTCACAGATTGACTGAACTAATTACCCTAGGCATAATTTCTAGTCATTTTTTGTTTCATAATATGTCAGAGGATCTTTCTGATTGAAATTACCACATCCCCTCCAAAGATATTTATTAGATCTGGCAAAAATCTTTCAGTGCTGAAAAGGAAGAGGGGTTCACACTGCATAACATCTTATCAGCAAAGAAACACATCTCAGTAATAAATGAAATATGTGTCCTTTTGTTCAGACACTTGAATCCTGCAGTATAGAGATTAACAGATTAAAAAGTAAGACATCATTGTCTGGCTATCCCTATTGATGTGGTGGGAGGAAAGGTAGGAGGCAGTTTTTGTAAGTCAAGGCAATTTTCTGAGAACGCCAAAGCATTCTAGGAACACAAACTTGAGTGTCTTCAGAGGCCAAGCAGGTAGAATAGATGGGTGAAGACTAAAGGGGGTGGTGAGGCCTATAACATTCAAATGCCAGGTAAAAACAATAGCAGCAATACCAGGCCAACCAAACAAACCACCTTCCAGTGTCCAGTGCTGAGGTCTAAGCTCTAATTTGCTTTGCTTTGCTTTTCCAAATTAAAATTTGGAAACAAATGCATGCAAGTGGGAAGCAGGCATATCACAAAGCATCTATCTGATGGTCTATCAGCTATTAAAAAGGATGATTATGAAGACAGTGTAGCAACAAGGAAAACTTATAATGTCATGCTTAAGGGAGAGGATATAAACCCTGCCTGTATAACATTACAAATACCTAAATACTTTTTAAAAGAGGCAAGAAAGAAATACACTGAGAAAAGGATACTCAAGTTTCTTTTAGATTGCTATGGTTTAGGATATCTATTTTTTCTCTTTTTCTTTTCTATATAATTATTTTAAGGTATATGTATTTAACCTTGGAAAACAAATTATACTGAAAGTCCAGCCATGTTTTAAAGAAAATTTATCATTTATTTCACTTTTAAAAATGAAATGCTTCACACATTTGAACGTCAGCCTTGTTCAGGGGAGATGCTAGTGTCCTCTGCCTCATTCCACTTTCAGTGTGTGTGCTGTGGAAGCAAGCACAAAGTAAGCTCTTCTTAAAGAAGTTAGGGGAATTGTGAAATTTCATCTGAATGGGTGAGATATAAAATTGCATATCATGTTGTTTTTACTTTAGAACTTATAGAGCATTTTGTTATAATATCATATAATACATGCAGAAGAAAATAAGAAATAAAGTGAGGAAGGAACATACTATTACCATAACCAATATCCCTGTGTCAGGACCAGAGAAATATACATAGGTTGATATACAATCAAGGGTCTTGTGTGCTGGAACTTCCAGAAAGGAAGCCTTGGAGGCCTCTATTTTATCCCATAAGCCAGGCACAGGAAAAGCCCTGAGTCCAATCAAAGAAATAGCAATTCATGAGTAGGATGTAAAATAAATGAGGTGTGGATATCATTCTGTCAGTTGCTTCCTACTGACTAACCAGGAGCAGATAATTCTGCTTCTGAATTCATTAATTTTGGCAAAAGGTATTGTTGGTCTACCTAATTCAGCTTCTCTGTTTAACAGTCAGGAATCTGAGGCACGTTCACATTAGGATTTTAGTGTGAATTTTTGCTTTGGGGAGGACTCTTCATTTATAAACTATATTAAAAATTATATCTTACAATGTCAAATTAAATATATAGGCTCAGGTAAGCAAAGACTTTTATTCTAAAAGAGTACAATTTCTCTCTCCTGCAAAGGAGAGAAAGTGACTTGCAACAGAAGTCAGGCTATCGCATTTTGAAGGAAGCTTTGACCCTGAGATATGCAAACCTCTCAAGGGTTAGGCAGTAAAAGATCTTTTCTCTTCTAGGAAGGAACAAACAATGCTGGAAAGAACAGGATGTCGAAAAGTGGAATGAGCTAGCATGAATAATCTTACAGTAGAAAAGAGAAAATTCTACCATATGATCCCTCTATTTTCAGGAGGGAATCTTAAGGAGGGGTTATATGATGGCTCAAGCAAAAGGCAGGTCCAAGTTCAGGGGCCAGGGGAAAGGGAGAACACTAACTAAGATTGGGTGAATTCAAAGAAGCAGGTATTTTATCCACATTGGTCAGTGGGTGAAACAGTTCAGCTAATCATTAATGATGCAAAGAATGGGAATGTGGAATATCTGTGTTCAGCTTTGTCATAAAAAAAAAAAAACAAGGTTGACATCAGCAAGTCTTATGTAAGTCACATGGGAAAGGATGTTTCCTTGTATAAGCTGTTTACTGGAACACTAAGGGATGGGAGGGTTCCTTGAACCCTCCATGTTTTCCAGGATCACAGGACTTGGGTAAAGATCAACATGGTCAATGATTATATTGGTACAAAGACCAATACATTAAAACTGTATATTATAAGACTTTCTTTTACTTAAATGTTTTTTTTTCTTTTCTCTCTGCCCCCATTTTGTGGGCCCCCAAATTATCATGGATCCTAGGGACTATCCCTAATGGGTATGTCAGCCCTGATCTGAGAACAGAGAGTGAGGATCTCTAAGACCACTAAGCCAGCTACCGCAAAGCTCAGAAGAGAGTAACCAGGTCTAGACTTCTTTCCACGCTTGTGACTATGAAGACTATGGAGAAGGCTCTGCTCAAGAGGTGGGATGAAGTGTTGGGGATGAGGGGATGTGTGGGGACGTTAACTTTGGTATAAGAACCTGCAGACTTAGAAGGAAAGGATTGGTGAGGGAAATTCATTACGGAGTTGATGACTGGAAGTGCCTTAACAGTTGACTGTTCCAGGGACATCATTCAGCAACATATCTTAGGTATCTGCTACACACGTGGTGTCCCTGCCTTTACAAAGCTTACAGTCAAGCAGGGGAGGCCAACGCACAAGAAATAGTAGTCAGTTGTGACAAGTGTAATGACAGAGGGGAAAAAGTACATTAAGAGTGAGTAACAGGGACATGTAACCTGCATGGGGGAAGTGAAGTTCCAGATGAATCCCAAATAGAAACAAACCAGGCCCAGAGGATGCAGAAAGTGAGAGGAATGTTCTACTAGGAAACGTTGCATGCAGGAAGACCCAGGACGTGTGAGGTTCAAGAGGTGGAAAACCTGTGATCTTGCTTTGGTTTTGCCAAATAGCCTTAACATTTGGGAAGTCATAGATCAGTGAAAAAAAGGACCAGTTAAAATCTCTCCCCAGCCTGCTTCTAGGATTTTTAGAATCCAAGACTAAGGAGCCAATAGGATTTGGAGGGTAAAGTCATGTGACTCAGAAAACTTTAAATAAAAAAAAAAAAAAAAAAAAAAGCAGTGTCTCTCTACCTCATGTTTTTCTAAACCACCCAGTCATTCAGGTGAGGTGCTTGGTCCATCCACAGCAGGCTAGAATGGGGGTTTCAATGCTGAATTTTTCACCCACTCTTGATACTTTTGATGGCTTTGCCCTACTCAGGCTACATTTTTTGTTTTGTGCATTTTTTACTTTTTTCTTTGCTGACAGAGTCTTGCTCTGTCTCTTAGGCTGGGATACAGTGGTACAATCAGGGCTAGCTGCAGCCTCGACCTTGCAGACTCAGACTCCAGAGTAGCCGGTACTACGGGTGTGCAGCCACCACACCTGGCTAATTTTTGTATTTTTTTGTGGAGACAGGGGTCTCCTCATATTGTCCAGGCAGGTCTCAAACTCTTGGGCTCAGGCAATCCATCCACGTCAGCCTCCTAAAGTGCTGGGATTACACGCCTGAGCCACCATGCCCAAGAGGCTGCAGTCTTGAGGAAAACGTCCTTCCCTCCCTTATCTAAAGATCCTGGATATACTGCTTTCTTTTCTTTTGGGATAATACCAGCAGTGGGACTGCTGGATCATATGGTAGCTTTATTTTTAGTTTTTTGAGGAAACTTCAAACCGTTCTCCATAGCGGTTGTACTAATTTACGTTGCCACCAATGGTGTATGAGGGTTCCCTTCTCTCCACAGCCTTGCCAGCATCTGTTATTGCCTGTCTTTTGGATATGAGCCATTTGAACTTGGATGAGATGATATATAGTTGTTTTCATTTGCATTTCTCTGTTAATCAATGATGTTGAGCACCTTTTCATATGCCTGTTTGCAATTTGCATATCTTCTTTTGAAAAATGTCTTTTTGGGTCTTTTAGCTGTTTTTATATTTATTTACTTATTTAGAGATAGAGTCTCACTCTGTCACCCAGGTTGGAGTGCAGTGGTGCAATCTCAGCTCACTGAAGCCTCCACCTCCCCGGTTCAAGTAATTCTTCTGCCTCAGTCTCTGGAGCAGCATCAACTGCAGGCATGTAGTTGATTTTTGCCCAGCTAATTTTTGTATTTTTAGTAGAAACAGCTAATTTTTGTATTTTTAGTAGAAACAGAGTTTCACCATGTTGGCCAGGATGATCTTGAACTCCTGACCTCAAAGTGATTCACCCACCCCAACCTCCAACAGTGCTAGGATTACAAACATGAGCCATTGTGCCCAGCCTTTGGCCCATTTTTAAACTGAGTTATTGTATTTTTTCCTATAGAGTTGTTTAAGCTCCTTAGTACAACCACCATGGAGAACAGTTTGGAGCTTTCCCAAAAAGCTAAAAATAGAACTACCATATGATCCAGCAATCCCATTGCTAGGTATATACCCAAAAGAAAGGAAATCAGTATATCAAAGAGATATCTACACTCCCATGTTTATTGCAGGACTGTTCACAATAGCCAAGATTTAGAACCAACCTAAGTTGTCCATCAGCCAATAAGCGGATAAGGAAAATGTGATACATATACACAGTGGAGTACTACTCAGCAATAAAAAGAATGAGATCCTGTCATTTGCAACAACATGGATGGAACTGGAGATCATTATGTTAAGTGAAATAAGCCATGCACAGAAAGACAAACTTCACATGTTCTCACTTATTTGTGGGCGCTAAAAATTAAAACAATTTAACTCATGAAGATAGAGAGTAGGAGGTTGGTTACCAAAGGCTGCCAAGGGAAGTGTGGGGTGGGGGAGTGGGGGGGGTGAGAATGGTAAATGGGTAGAAAGAAACAGAAAGAATGAATAACACCTACTACTTGGTGGCACAGCAGGGTGAATGAAGTCGATAATAATATAATGGTGGAGTTAAAAATAACTAAGAGTATAATTGGATTGTTTGTAACAGAAGGGATAAATGCTTGAGGCGATGGAAACCTCATTTACCCTGATGTAATTATACATTGTTTGTCTGTATCAAAATATGCCATATACCCCATAAATATATACACCTACAGTGTCCTCCCAAAAACACATTAACAACAAAAAAGACTGAGGTTTTGATTCTCTGCCAGTGCCTAGGGTCAAGAGTTCACGTAACCTGGGCTCTTTTGATGTACTGTCTCCCCGACTAATTCTCTCCAGCCCCGAGAGGACGGGAAACCGCAGGTTGCTGTCAGGCCTTTTCCAGCCGCCACCGCAAGTGAGAGAGGGAGGGAGGGAGGCGGAGGCCAGGGCTGCAGGAAGGGAGAGCGGGGTCACCGGCCCGCGGGCGGCTGGGGCCAGAACTGGCCGGGTCTGCGCGCTGGGGGCTGGGCCGGGCGGGCTGGGGCGGGGCGGGACCGGTGACCCTAAGGGGAGACCTTCCAGCCTGCTGCCCCGCTGCCCAGCGCCAGCCTGCGAGCCCCCGTCGTTCCTCCGCCCCTCGGCTCAGGTAAGGCAGGCACCCCCAGAGCTCAGCTCCCTGTGCCTGGCCACAGGCGGGGGTCTTTGGCTGGGCCTGGCTGGTGCAGCCGCGCGCCTTCCGGCTCTCAGAGCCCGGCGCAGAAGGGGACTGGGCCTGGCCCACGCTTGGATACATCTGGACGGGAAAGAGGGTGGGCGTGCGCAGCGCTGTCTCTAACCCCTCCCTTTTGCTCTAAGTTTTTGTCCTTGGGATTCGGAAAAGTACCTCTTCAAACTCTTTTCCAGAAGTGGCATCAGGAGTGAACAAAGCTGCTTGTCCCGCAGTATCCCTACCTGGGCTCCTGGGAGGAGTGAGCCCCTGATATGTTTAGGAACCTGCCTTTCGCTTATTAGGATAATTTCTTGGAACTATGG